CACACACACACACACACTCACACACACACACACACACACACACACACACACACTCACACTCACTCTCGCACACACACTCACTCACGCACGCACGCACTCTCACACGCACACACACACACACTCTCGCACACACACACACGCACACACACTCACTCACACACACACACACACTCACTCACTCGCGCACACACACGCACTCTCACTGACACACACACACTCACTCACTCTCGCACACACACTCACTCACACACACTCACACACGCACTCTCACTCACACACGCACTCACAGTCACTCACTCACACTCTCGCACTCACTCACGCACTCTCACTCACACACACGCACTCACTCACACTCTCGCACTCACACTCTCGCACACACACGCACTCACTCACTCACTCGCACTCACTCACTCACTCTCTCACACACACACACACGCACACAATCTCACACTCATCACTGGACGTTCAGTGTTTGTACCTGAGCAACAGATTCAGAGTGAGTGTGCATGAGTGTGAGTTGGAGTGTGAGTGTGTATGAGTGTGTGCGAGAGTGTGAGTGCGTGTGTGTGTGAGTGTGTATGTGAGTGTGTGCACGTGAGTGTGTGCGCGTGAGTGCGTGCGAGCGTATGTGTGTGAGTGCGTGAGTGTGTGTGTGTGAGAGCGTGAGAGTGTGTGTGTGTGTGTGCGTGCGTGAGTGTGTGCGTGTGTGTGCGTGAGTGTGTGTGTTTGAGAGCGTGAGTGTGTGCGTGTGTGTGCATGAGTGTGTGTGTGTGTGTGTGTGAGATGCGTTTATTGATGGATATTGATTGTAGTACAGTTGCATCCACAGGTTATGTGGTAAAATATTAGAAAACAGATGCCGTATAAACAGCCGCTCAAACACCTGAACCACAGCAGAATAAATCCTCATGCATTTGCAGAAATGACAATTTTCTGCAGTCCATTTGCAGATTGCATATATAAATTGTGTGTGAGTGAGTGTGTGTGTGTGTGAGAGCGTGAGAGTGTGTGTGTGTGTGTGCGTGCGTGAGTGTGTGCGTGTGTGTGCATGAGTGTGTGTGTGTGTGTGTGAGATGCGTTTATTGATGGATATTGATTGTAGTACAGTTGCATCCACAGGTTATGTGGTAAAATATTAGAAAACAGATGCCGTATAAACAGCCGCTCAAACACCTGAACCACAGCAGAATAAATCCTCATGCATTTGCAGAAATGACAATTTTCTGCAGTCCATTTGCAGATTGCATATATAAATGAAAAAGTGTTTCCAAATGAAATTGCCTTCATGTTGCATTATGTCATTAATTTGGCTTCTGTTCACTAGATTTTAATTTTGCTTTTATGTTTATACACTTTTTAATTTTGATATGCTTCAAGCTACTTTTGACTTTGTTTTATGAATGTTTTTGTCATGCATTGTCACTTTACACATTGTTTTTTTTCATTTTATGCTTGCTTTTTTCATTAGACGCATTTCAGTATTAAATTAAAAGGCCCTCGGTGGACAAAAGCCTCACTGGACGCTGATGGACAAGGTAAATATTGAGTCTTTCTCCCCGATTCTCCGGTCAGACGTCACGCTTTCTTATCCTAACAGGTGCTTTGCCCTATAGCTTTGCCATGCTATGCTGATATTTATTATTGATATGACAAAGTTTATGTTTGATGTTGGTCCAGAGCAGAACACACAGACATCAGACGTGTGTGTGATCCTGAGAGACGTAACCTCAGCCTGAAGTCCAGCGCTAATGGCTTTAATCACGTCTGGATGCGTCTCAGCAGGGAACGCGGGGTCCTGCGAGACGCGATGATTCAGTCCTGCATCTCAGATGCGTTCATCCATCAGAGACATCTGAGATCACGTGATAAATGTGTGTCGAGATCCATCTGGATAATTATGGCCATTTCAAAAATTACAATTCACCTCCTAAGAATCAGGTTTTTAGAAACGACACACTCTTTTGCACTTGTGCTCTTGTTCGTGAAGATGAGACGCTCAGATCTTCATGTCGCTCAGCACTGTATGATCGTGGGATTGCAGCAGTCTATTAAAATCACTCGCAGTCTAAAATGCTCTAATGCTCATTCAATTAAAGCATTGTAATTATACGTCCAGATGCCTGATGGGAGGTTACGCTGGGGCTCTGTAGCATCAGACACGTGTCTTCCTCCAGCGCTGAACCAATGCACTCGCAAAACTGCATTTCTCTCAAGCTTGTTTCCTAATCTAGCTGTCTGATAAACGTGGCACTGTGGATAATTGCTTCTGTTCCTCTGATGCATAAAACGAACTGATCCGTTGCTCTGGATCGTGTGTCAGTTGGTCAGAACATGTTGTTTCTACACAAGCTTAGCTCCAGTGGTCACTCTTCTGTGGAAGACCGTCTCTGCCACCGGATAAAAAAGATGATTGTGAGCTTTGCGGGCTTTGTTTGAGTTCATCTTGCATCTTGCATATCTTTCAATTTTGAGTTTTTTCTCAGAATCCTGAGTTGATATCTCACAATTGATTTCCCCCCATCATAGATTAAAAATGGTAGCTGTGACTTTTTATCTCACATTTTTGACTTTGTTTATATCTTGCAGCTGTGACTTTTATTGTCTGAATTATGAGAAAAACTAATGCTTAACTAAACGGGCTTCAGTAGTTAACTCTATTTCAGCTTAAATGGATCATTCACCCAAAAATGAAAATTCACTGACTTCCACCGCATGGAAAAAAAGTGTTATGGAAGTCAGTGTGTGTCTGAGAGAGCTGAACTGGAGGATGACGTCACTGAATCATCAATGAACGGACTTTAGCTGGAAAAACGACTCTGTTGTTGTCTTCTTGCATTATTGACAAACTATTTTCCTGTTTAACATTCTAAAGCTGCTTTGACACAACCAGTATTGTATAAAGCGCTATACAAATAAAGGTGACTTGACTTGAGCGTCTCCGGTGAGCGTGTTGGAGTTACTGATGGTGTTTGTGTTTCTGGTCTCAGGTTGAGAAGAACGAAGAGGCTGATCAGGAGATCAAGCAGGATGGACCCAAACCGGAGGAAAACGGCCACAAGGCCGCCACCAAGATCCAGGCCAGCTTCCGTGGACACATCACCCGGAAAAAGATGAAGGACGAGGAGAACGACGCCGCTCCGGACGAGTCCGCAGAGGAGAAGGAGGAGCGAGTCTCTCCATCGGAGGAGAAACCTGCCGAGGTTTCCATGGAAACAGCAGAGGAGAGCAAACCGGCCGAGCAGCCCAACTCACCTGCCGCAGAAGCCCCGCCCACCACTGCCACTGACTCCGCCCCCTCAGACACGCCCACTAAAGAGGAGGCGCAGGAGCAGCTGCAGGAGGCGGAGAATCCAAAAGAGGTGGAGAACACGGCAGCCGAGAACCCCGCCCACGATGTAAACGCACAGGAGGAGGAGAAGAAAGAGGAGGAGAAGAAGGAGGAAGCCAAACAAGCCGATGAGCCTGAC